CAGATCTCGGAAGCTAAGCAGGGTCGGGCCTGGTTAGTACTTGGATGGGAGACCGCCTGGGAATACCAGGTGCTGTAAGCTTTAGCGTTTTCTTCACTACTTATCTAATACACTGGCCTATAGAGTGGCTGATCTTTAAATAGCTCACTCATTAAATAGCTCATAGAAACATTGCCAAGTTACGAAATATGTTACCTGTTTCTGATGCAGAAAAGCTAGTTCATGCATTCATGACCTCTAGACTGGACTATTGTAATGCACTGCTAGGTGGTTGTCCTGCATCTTCAATAAACAAGCTACAGGTAGTCCAAAATGCAGCGACTAGAGTCCTTACTAGGTCAAGAAAATATGATCATATTACCCCAATTTTACATTCTCTGCACTGGCTACCTATTAAGTTCTGTATCAGTTACAAAATATTATTACTTACCTATAAGGCCCTTAATGGGTAGCTCCTGCGTACCTAACTAGTCTTCTACCACACTACAATCCATCATGCTCCCTAAGGTCGCAAAACTCTGGACTTTTGGTAGTACCTAGGATAGCAAAGTCCACTAAAGGAGGTAGAGCTTTTTCACATTTGGCTTCACTGAAAGTGAAGCGGCCGATGGTTCTGGGCTTGAGAGTGATGTGGCTGCGGGTTCTGGGCTGAGGATCGGATTGGTTCGGGGAGCTGGAAACGGAGGATGGATGGCAGATTTCAGTGCTGACCGGACAGATGTCATAGTGGTGTCCGCAACCTTAGCCCCCAGGTCAGCACTGTTAGAAACCCACTTCTGGGCTCGGGGAAACACAGGAGGATAGGTATGGTCGGAACCAATGGCCAGGATCTCAACATGGGGTGAGCTGGTGAGGCCCAGTGGTTCTCAGAAGGGGCTGGATGAGAACGACTTAACTTCTCCAACCTCCTCTACTTCAAAGTGAAAGCAGTTTAAATATAGGATGACATTTATTAACTCAAACAAAGAGAAGTTACAAACGGGAGAACGACAACGAATAGTGTTCTCATCCAGTCACAACTGAAAACAGGCACAGAGAGGCATCGGGCCAGCTCACTTGATGGGAAAGCTCGATGAATTCCTCCACATACCTTTCCAGAGGGCGACCACCCTGTCGCAGGCGGCACAACTGGTCCTCAGCCCAATCCATCTTGTAAAAAGGTCCGTTCATCTGTCACAGGTACTGTGCTCTAAGGAGACAAGCGCACGACATCGGAGTAATCCAGCACACAATCTTTAATTCCAACTTCAATTCAAGAGAATAACCAGGAGACAGATAAATCAGAAACATCTAAGAGCAACCTAAGCATGACGGTGAACGGACCAAGAAACTGAGGAAAGGCAGGGCTATTTATACTAAACCAAACGATCGACTAATAAGATGATTAATGAACACAGGTGGAAACTAATGAGTGATGATTAACTAAATGAGAACATAAATAGAACCAAATAAGGGCAGACAGGAACCAAACAGAAACAAACACATGATAATAACCAAACATAACAGCCTCATGCTAAGAATGGAGTGTGTGTGTGTGTGTGTGTGTGTGTGTGTGTGTGTGTTTTAATCTATTCTTTTTTTAATTTTCTTGATAGGGCAAAGCAGGAATATTGGTTGACTGGGAGCCCTGTCCAATATGGTATGTATTCTTCAGTTTTTCTGCTTTATCAATTAATGCAGGCGTTATTAATTTACTTTATCTTTGTTAATTTTGTTTGTTTTGTTTTTGCTACCATAATTTCTTATTAATCTGTTTTGTTTCACAAATGGTGGTGGTCCTTCATAGATGGAAAATGGAACTGTTATGCTTATAAAAGACATGTTCAGTAATGATGTGTGCTTCACACTTGTTAAAATGCTTGTTTATTGGAAACACCCAGTAAAAAAAATAAAAATCCCTTCTGTTTTTAGTGGCAAGGAGTGGGCCCATTCCTGGCAGCCGAAGGATTCTCTTCAAATTAATGAGAAGAAATCAAATGTAGAATTTGAACTATATTTTGGTTTCTGCCTGTATATTACATTGTTTCTGCGCTGCTTCTGAAGTCATGTCTCATCTTTCTGTAGTGGTGAAAATCCCCAATAAATGGGACACATGGAGTTTAGTCTCAAGTAGGATTAAATAGAAATGTACTTAATCCAACTCAGTTTCCTTTTCAGATGTTATTCGAAAACATGTTTTATATTTCATGATTATACATTGCACTATATGTTATTTTATGTTAGTTGACATATAACTTGATTTCATGTTCTGTTGTCTGTGCATTTCAATTTAACCTAACCTCACAGACCACTGTTAAGACATGCAAAAAACGTTTAAAGCTGTTCCTCTCTCTGCTGCTGACAGTTGACATTTCAGGCAAATTGATGCGACAAAAACCCTATTCACCTGCAGTCCTCATCATATTCAACTCACAGGAGTCCTTCCACTGTGCTCATCAGGAGCTGAGCTCCACATTCATCCAGATCTCTGCATTGCTATTCACTCCTTCACCACCACCAGTGTC